ATAACAATGAGGAACAAGTTCACATGAGTAATAATTTTCACAAATTCACTTTTTCCTACCCACCCTATAAAAACAGCACAAAACACATTGATTTGTTATTGAGAAAGTGACTCGTTTCACTATGACAACATATAACAGTTAGAAAGTTAAAACTCACATGGGTGGAAATATTCGAAAATCGCACAGTAACAGGGTCTATAGATTATGATGTACCAATGAATGATTATTATGCTGAATTATGGTAGGTTGAGTTATAGTCAAGTTAATGGAAAGTTAGTGTCGATTTAACATGAGTTATTGTCGTTAATGTTGACGTAATGTAATGTTGAAGTTGATGAAAAGTTGAAATCAAGACAATTTCAATTGAAAGTTGAATTAATGTCAATGTATTGGCAATTTAGTGATTAATGTGAAGCTAATGTCTATTTGATATAGAGTTAATGTTAATTTGATTTTAAGGTAATGTCAAGTTGATTTTGAGTTAATGTTGATTTGATGTTGAGTTAATGTTGAATAATTATTGAGTTAAAGTTGAGTTGAGGTTGAGTCAATGTTAGGTTAATTTTAAGTTAATGTTGAGTTGATGTTGAGTAAATGTTGAGTTAATTTCAAGTTAATGTTAAGAAACTGTTGAATTTATGTTAAGTTGATGTTAAGTTAATGTTGAGTTAATGTTAAGTTCATATTAAGTTAATGTTGAGTTAACGTTAAACTAATGATGTCATTTAAATATTGAAGTAAAATGAAATAATAATGATAATGATATCACCTTCATGTGATCGAATATGATTAGAAACATGATCCCTACTCTGGTCTTATAAACACTCATGACATATAATATAAATATTTGTGGTCGTAGGAAAAATAGTGTACAAAACTCGTTGGAAAGGGCATTTCCTGCGCTCGTTTCGTTCCACACTAGTTATGTAATATACTATTACACGCCCTATAAACATTAGCTTCTACACGGTGTATTTCACACTCAATTCTTTTTATTCTCAATTATATGAAAAAATTCACATAATCATTTCAATTTTGAATAAGTGTGATATACACCGTGATGAAGCTGATGTTGAGCGAAACAATTGTCGTGAACAAAAGTGAATTTGTGAAAATTATTATTCAGGTGGGTTTGTTGCTTATCATTATTGTAAAGTTTTCGTTATGGACCACCCTGTATAGAGACAAGCAGGAACAATTTCATCTGCAACCCTTCTAGTAGATTTTCATCCCAAGCTTCATATTAAATTTCTGTGAATGCTGATACACTGGCCTTCTACTCATTCGGTGAGGATTGCAGATTCCTGCTTTCGAATTGCTCCTGTTTCGTGCCTCTAAAAGTATTGGACTGGAAAATGGGTCAATTGCTCTGTTGATTTCCTTTATATAGTGTTCTTGTATTTTCCCTGCCGTTACGTTCCAAAGAGTTGGTACATTTCCTTCACAGTTATCTCCATTACATTTTCGCATGTTGAAAGCCCAATCTTCCAAAATAGTTACTATTCATTCAGTACCTACGTAGTTTTACTCCCTACAAAACGTGAGAAACTGTTTACTCTCTAAGCGACTCGCTTTGTATGTAACAATATGAATTGGGTACTATGGAAACTCAAATAATTGAAAATTTCTGATTGGTGGAGTTCCTGTATGATAGATAGATAGATAGATAGATAGATAGATAGATAGATAGATAGATAGATAGATAGATAGATAGATAGATAGATAGATAGATAGATAGATAGATAGATAGATAGATAGATAGATAGATAGATAGATAGATAGATAGATAGATAGATAGATAGATAGATAGATAGATAGATAGATAGATAGATAGATAGATAGATAGATAGATAGATAGATAGATAGATAGATAGATAGATAGATAGATAGATAGATAGATAGATAGATAGATAGATAGATAGATAGATAGATAGATAGATAGATAGATAGATAGATAGATAGATAGATAGATAGATAGATAGATAGATAGATAGATAGATAGATAGATAGATAGATAGATAGATAGATAGATAGATAGATAGATAGATAGATAGATAGATAGATAGATAGATAGATAGATAGATAGATAGATAGATAGATAGATAGATAGATAGATAGATAGATAGATAGATAGATAGATAGATAGATAGATAGATAGATAGATAGATAGATAGATAGATAGATAGAATTTATTGGTTCCATAAAATCCACATAAAAGGATGTAGAACATGTCAAAACAAGTACATATTTTATGCATAGTTATTTGAATCTTTACACTTACATTTGGATACATATCATTGAAGACGAAATGAACAGCTAAATGTCACCATATATAACAATACTATGTACGAGTTTATGTATATGTGTATCATCACGAATTTTAAGAAATACACAAGCTAACTTGACTGAATTGTAAGTTCTGATTGATTGACAATTAGGTATACGAATAAAATGATCATCTTCATAGAATGTTTCTTCATTATAATTATGCATGGAATATTGAAGAAGAAATAGCATGTTTCAATTTACGGGAAGGAATCTACTAGATGAGTTTTTCTATGCTGATGATGGAGTTTATGAGCTCTGAAACATGTGGTTTCGATTGTGTGATTCATATTTTCATGCTATATTGGTATCATCACAAATAGGTGATTGGTCTAACTTGCAGTCTTGGCTGCTAATTTTTATAACCTCTGAGTATACAACTTTGGAGAGGGACATTTCTGTAATTCTCCAACTATATTTCCTGGACTAATAATTTCAGATGCATGGTTCGCCGATTTGAAGGAATGAAAGTAACCGAAAAATATTTTAAGAAATTACGTGGTGTTTATAGTGTATGCTGCCTTGATGACGTAATTTGGCAGTGCAATTCGGATAATTTGCGTCTGGGGCCGGATTTGTGTGTCTGCATTATACAAATTTAGATTTTGCCCTGAATTCGGCTTACGGAAAAACGATGTTGATTTTATGATAAATTGAGGATGTGCTAGTTATGATAAAGATAATTTCCGTTGTTTTTGTAACGTACGAAAAATAAGCCGATGAGCAATGTTGATAAAACAAATTTGAACTTGAATAGTTTAGTTCCAGCAGTCACTTCAGTCATATCAACTAACTGGAGTTAACCTCGCTTTAGCATGCTCGCTCCTATCAAAATGTGAATTGGAAAAATAAACGTTGGAATACAATAATCATTGAACTAGAATTGATAATCATACTATCAATTTTCTCAAAAGATCCATAACTTTCTGCGACATTGTAGAACATTCTAGAACATCTCGGAAGGTCCCGCAGAACATTATGAAACAATCCTAGAACATTCAGGAAGGTTCTGGTCTATAGAGCATTATGGAATAATCCAGATCATTTTAGAGCATTCTCGAACATTCTGATGGAATATTCCAGCACATTCTCCAACCGTTCGGAAGATTATACAACTTTCCTACTATTCATAACATAATACATTCGTGGGCGATTGAAACTCGGATTTTCCCATAATCTACCCAGCTTCTTTATTCGTCCCCAGGCATGATAGTCAATGGGGGGTCAGGTCTGAAGGTCTAGCTGCCCATATCAGTGGTCCAAGTCACCCTAGCTATTTCTCAGAAAATATGTAACTATAGTATAGGTAGTTGATATCATCAACTCATAATACCTGATGCCTGAATTTTACACCTGACCTCGTTAATAGCTTTTTCCGTTCAATAGTTAAGGAGGGGGGACTTTTTACGTCCTCGCTGTATATGTATGTATATAAATTTTCAATTACACATATTCCCAGCCAACCATGAGATGTATAAGTGATGTATACGCCACATCACTTTGTGACATGCGATATCGCATTTGAAGTCACAAACATGTTACCGATACAACGTGGGGATGTGAAAATTTCCGACTCAAGCAACATCACTGTGACGTAGTTCAGACATGAAATGCGACATCACATGAAAAATCACTACCAGGTCACATACAAGTGTACATTTCATATTACAAAAACATCACACTGCGACATCGATGATGTGGTCGCCGTACCTGTGATATTCGTGGGATATATAATAATAATTATTCAACTTTACGAAGAAAATGTTTATTTTCCGAAAGTGAAAACAGATGATACAAAACTTATCATGAATCTTGAAGTAAAACATGACACATATATATAGCAATACAAATATACATTATTCATGAATGATACATATCAAATACACTTACATTATCTTGGGATCTTCCATCCACCTTGTTTTTAGATTGCAGTATTCCTATCTCAGAGATAATTACAATATTACCTATTGTGATTGAACTCACCATCGTTCCTAAATGATTGTATACCTCCAATTTGAAGCTGCTATAATATGTACCTACTATAAATCATCTCAGATATTTCAACAGAGAATTTGGAAGGAAATAGTCTGTACGGAGTCGGACTCACTCACTGACTGACTGACTGACTGCCTGAATGACTGACTGACTGACATGGCCATGCACAGCTCAACATGGCGTCTGGCGTGTGCGTTCGTTTTGCGCATGTCTGCGTCACACTCACAGGTCACAAAGATATCTCATGAGGATATCAATGTGAATTATTTAGTTAACGTCGAAGAGATGTAGTTTGAAAAAGTCGCTGCCACATTACATAGCTTCCTGGTTGCGATGTCACCTTGCGACGTTGATATCGAATCTACGTCGATAAGATGTGTTAACGAGATGTTGCATTTATGCAAGGTTGTTACATCACACAGATGTTGATGTCACGCGATGGTTGGCTGGGTTTCAGGCTCATTAGATTGAGAATACAAACTTAGAGTATTTATCAGAAAACAGATTTTTTCGACACTCCTCTCGAATGAATTCCTATTCTCCTCCTTACGTGTATACGTTGAGAAGTTTTAAAATCCATTCATCAAACTTGAAAGTATATCTTTCGTACATTAATGATAGCTGTAAGATTTTTCACAATATATCAAGACATTGATGCCAATCTGATCTGTTTATTTCAGTGATTCTGGCCCGTGTGAAGCGAGAAAAAGTACTCAGCGATTCGAAAGTGTACAAAGTTCGAGTGAAGAAGGAATATAAAGTATCCGAAAAGGGACTTTTGGCACTAAAATCTGGCAGACTCATTTCGGCCGCTGACGAGTCTATGTGTGGAGTCAAACTGCAGTTGGGAAAATTGTATGTTCTTTCAGGTGAGTACAAGAAACTTACATTGTGTGTCCATATGGTGTATAGTTCTTTGAATAATGAACTTGAAATGTCATACACTACACTGTTTTACCACTAACCAAACCGATTTTTTAACGCCTCGACACGTGTCGAGGCGTTAAAAAATCGGTTTGGTTAGTGGTAAAACAGTGTAGTGTATTATCGTGCCAAAGGTTCCAGTCTTCGATATATTAAAATGTCATCATTTTTTTGTGTTCTGAATCATGTACATATTTCAGAAAGGGCAGGTCAAATTGCAGGGACGGTTTTCGTTCAGTGGGTGCCAAAAGGGACGGTAGGATATGGCAACCAAAATTGCGCCGCAGAAGAAAAAATTTGTTTTTCGAAGTCGATTACCTTCGACTGTGAAGCTTGATCTATTATTATTTTGTATGACATCCCTGGTTAGCGTCTTACTTTTATGTAATGTAGAACCTGCCTCCTGTTCCTATTCACTTCAGGAAATTCCTACGATTTTTTCTTTAAATCAAGAAGATTGTAGAGGTCCGTTGGGATCTTTTTAACCTTTCACCAATCTCGAAAAATATGGCCTTTCGTGGGTAATTGAAACAATATACTGCTTGAATACTGTCTGTAGGTCAATCGAGGAGGTGTAACATTGATTTTACTTGATTATTTGGGATTTTTTTTCCTCGTTTCTACAAAATGAAAATATGAGTATTATTTCAATCCATTGTGTAGATGATTCGCCCCAAAATGTCACTACGTTCAACAAATTTTTCTATCAGGGAACCTAAAAGAAAAATCCAATAGCTTGTCAGTGACACTTTGTTCGGGAAAAAGTTTGAAGAGAAGAAATATAGATATATCGGAAAAATATCGAATTTTTACTTATCTTTGGACGTTTTGGGAACGAATCTGCTCCCGTTCCCAACATAATAATGCAAAATATTTTCTTTTTCGAAAATTCTGTTCTGATAGTGTGACACTTCTCAGTGAATGAGTGATGATATTAGTATACAAATGAGTTACAGGATGATTTCATTAATTGATCTTGAATCTACCATTTTCATGTTGATCTATATAAACTGAAGAGGATGCAATGCTTTTGTCTTTCCTACTAAAAATGGACAGCATATAGCAGAGTGGAATATCAAAATCATAAGGGAGAAAATCCCAAATAATCAATTAAAATGAATATACTATACTTATTGATTTGATGGTTGGATGATAAACTCTGAAATGAGGCCTGGAGCAACCCTTCTTTCAAGATTGGTTCACGTTGGATAGCTCAAGATTTTCTCTTTTTCCAGATGAAATTTGAATTGAAAATTCATACCTCTTCAAAATACTAGAACAGAAGGAAATTACGCTTTTTCTGAATGAGCATCATCTGAGCTTGGACGATATCTAATCATCAGGTCCTATGCCCAAAGTTCCACTCAAACAGTATATTATATTCATATTGATAATCATTGAAACATTGAAAATAATGCGTAAAAACGGAAAGAAGGTTGTTGTGCCTTCAGATCCAGGGTCGACACCAATAATGCTGCGCACTTACGAGTATACAGGGTGGGTCAAAATGTGTATCAAGCTTCCTGGAGGTAATGAATAGTACAGGATGGCCAACTAAGAATTCGAGGTACTGTATCTGGCAAACTATCCATCGTAGAGACTCGCGGCAAAAATTTTTTTAATGAAACAAACGGCCAAGAGAAAAACCTGGAAAATATTTTCAAGCTTCTGAAATGGCCGCTAGGTAGCGTGACTGCAATTTTTAATCTGAACAAGTGATGTTTTCGTGAATTCCGCTCTATTAACCTAACATAAAAATACCTGATTATCAAAGTAGAGGATTATGTGAACCTTTTTTATTCTGTTGGATAGTTGCCCATCACATTTCGTTATTATTGTGCACGAGTTTATTGATACAGTATTTCAACAGTGGCGGACTGTGGATTCTAAGAAGAAGTTTGTTTTTCTGCAACCGACACAAAAGTCGTCCATTTTGATACCGAAATTAGCTCTTAAATTGACGTTTCTATTACTGACACAAAAATAGGTATGTTGCTAGGCAACATATTTAGTTCCTAGGAGCTGAAGTTGAATTTTAGTTCCTAGGAGCTAAAGTTGAACTTGTACTGGACGTCACGGTTGGTTATTTGGGTTGAGACGCACACCTTATTTGTTTCCGATTTCAGCAGATTCGGCATTTCATACCCATGCTGGAGATATAAATACACCTTATTATAGTTTAGTATTGGAATTATGAACATCTCTGCTGAGTATTTTTGTTAGATCAGGGAAGCCTTCAAGATTCAAATACTTGCTTGATCTGTATTTCATTCGTTATTCTCGGGATGGATAACTTATTGTTTTTGAATAATCACGGCAAGCAATAGTTTTCTGTCTCAAACAACGATATTGTTTAGCTTCATTTGATTATCAAGTCAAACACAGTGTAGTATGGAGAGGAATAAATAATTACTATTATCATTGTTGATATGCTCACTAACCTAACATTTTCAACGTCTTGTTCCTATAGCTGATTAGCTGGCACTGGCGCGGTATTTGCCATTAGAGCACCTGGTCCATACACAAATATGTCACTTTGTGGTTGTATTTATATTGAAACTTTTCAGGTTAGGAACAAGATGCTGTTTTCGACCATTTCTGTTGAAATGTCGAAAAAAGTCCTCTAGCGATGACATGTGGAACTGAAAAAAACACAAATATCATAATATCTGAAGCCCAAGAATAGCCCTTTTCAATTAGCCCAAGTTTGTTGAAATCGGCTCAGCCGATTCGAAGAAACAGAGTGTCTTTGACGGAAACCTTCGAATGCCCCCCAATACTTCATTATCAGAGATATAGTAAGAATTGTCGAACAAAAAAGGTTCAGATAATCCTCTACATCGAAGATCAGGTTTTTTTTCAATAGGTTGAAAGAGCGGAATTCCCAGGAACATCACTTTTTCAAAAAAAAAAAACAATTTTTCAGATTCAAGATGCTGTTACGCTACTAACTGACATTCCAGAAGTTTGAAAATATTTTACAGGTTTTTTTCTTGACCGTTTTAGTGTGAACATTTTTTACCGCGAGTCTCTGCGATGGGAAGTTTGTCAGATAGAGTACCTCATATACTTTGTTGGCCACCCTTCACATTGAAAAATAAGTATAATTTGAAGGATGAACAAATCGCCCAAAATGTATATTAAGGGGGAAAAATCCTTCCTTCCTTCCTATTGAAATAATTTTCCCGCATAACTTCTAAACGATGAATGCTAACAGATTGTATTTTCCTGCATAAATGTATATTGATGAAATACATTCTTCTGTTATACATTTCTATATTTCTGATATTGTTATAAAGGGTGTTTCGAAAGGGTGGGTCATGATTTTTTAAAGACAAAATTTTTCCTCTTATTTTTTTCTGTGAAAAAATAGGAGCATTCGATAGAGCGAAAAACATCTCATAGAATCTTACCAATATTCCATTTTCAAATTTTTTGTTTTCTGAACATTATGAGTCGACCATTCGATCTACTCGCATCGTTCTGCATAAAAATTGAAGCTGAAAGGTTCCACTACAACCTCATTTTCGACCATGTTTTCCCAAATATTCTGCTCAAAAGTTGACTCACAACTTGAAATATAATTCTTTGGTAAAATTCACCCTTATTTGAAGTGGTGTATCTCAAGCGAGATCCCAAGCGAAAAAACAGAAAAAGTGCAAAACTCTAGATCCGATTCAGCAACCCGAAAAGAGAGAGATGATGAATTCAAATAAAAAACAGAATAACACCAAGTCGGTCGACCACAAAAATTATATTACACAAAATGTATTTTGACTAGTTTCGGCTCAAACAGCCATCTCCAGACACATCAGTACACAGTACCTGTAAATGTATTCAATTTATAGAGGAACAACTAGTTTTTGGGAAAAAAAAAGATCCGATGATACAATCGACTACTGTATTTTTATCACCGTAAAACTACCATTTGCCTAAACTATTTCACGGTTTCTCATGCTTACAATTTGTATTGAAAATGATAATATATTCAAAATACAATTGGAAATAGCTGATGATCAATAAATCGAATGATAATAGAATGAATATATTTATAAGTTTCGTCCTGAAATCGTCCATAATCATTTCAATGGTTGAAAAATTTGAGTTATAAATCATTCATCCTCCTTCCTCCTCGTTCCTTCCTTGGTAAGGAAGGAACGAGTGTTTATTTCAGAAATGAACTCCACCAAGGGCTTCCCAGATGTGGATACTGTTCGATATTGCTCGCCTCGCTATCAAATAACCTGATATTTATTGAGCTTGAGCAAATATGGAACTTTTGCAGGTATATTCGAAGTTTTGGTGGATACGCAATACCTTAGAGAAACTGATATTATAGCCTCTATTGCAGTTCTTTATATTGTAACAGATTAAATTATTGTAACTGGTTCACTTTTTGTATGTAAATTACCAATTTGATGACGAATTTTTCAACGCCATATTACCTTCAAATTCTAAATTATTTCTGAACTGTATTTGCCGACTACGATTTGCTATAGAATCATCAATAATCATTGGGAAACGGAAAATTGTCTACGTTGGGTAGAGCTCATCAAGGTGGTTCTGATAATATCATATTTGTAGGGTGTTAATAGTTTTATATCCGAGATATAGGGTGTTTTATCAATTCTACTCAATTCTTTGTGATAATATGACTCACGATTCATTCAGTATGTTTTCTTGGAATCTGGTACACAATTCCTTTTTTCTTCTACCCAAGACTCACCTATGATTCGAGAGAAAAATCCAGGTCTGAATTATCGAAAATTGATCACATTTCTGGACCCCAAAAAGAATGCCCTATATTTTCGAATTTAGAAAATATACTTACATATTTGGAAAGTGCACAAAAAGCTGAATCGAATGGTGTACTTTTTATCTACTGGTTCTGAATTTGAGGTTTCATGGATTTTGATAGGTAAAAATGGAATATTTTGAGTTTTCCCAATCGGATAACAAAAATTATCATGAACCACCTAGTATATTCTTCTGGAATTTGGCACATGATTCCTCCTTCTTAAACCAAGTGACCCATGTATCAGTCACTAGTAGAATCCTGGTCCGGATTCACGAAAATTGATTCCATTTCTGGACCCCAAAAAGAATACCCTGTATTTTCGAATTTCCAAAACCTGCCCACTTAATTGGGAAATTCACAAGAAGCTGAATCGAATGATGTAGTTTTTATTTTCCCGCATGCTATTGTAACCTGGGTGAATGAGCCAGTAGTGTATCTTCACGTATTTCAAAATTACTATTGAGTTCACCCACTTATGTATTTGTGGGAAAAAATTCTTCAGATAAGTATATTATAATGACATATCACTGTTGAAAAAATTTCATTTCTTCAATTTTGGAAATTCTGGGTGCTCTTTTGGGGCCCAGAATATGATCAATTATCGTCAATTCGGACCTGACTGATAGTCGAGTTGATTTCAAAAGAATTTGCTACGTGGTTCGTGATAATTTTCGTTATTCGATTGGGAAAACTCAAAATATTCCATTTTTCCCAATCTAAATGCATAGAACTTCAAATTTACAATCAGAAATAGTAAAATAGCATGCGTGAAAATAAAAAGTAAACAATTCGATTCAGCTTTTTGTGCAATTTCCAAATATGTAAGAGGTATTTGGGGATTCGAAGATACAGGGTGCTCTCTTAGGGGTCCACAAAAATGATCATCAGTTTTCTTGAATCCGGACCTTTTCGCTTGGGTAAACGAAGCAATTGAGTACCAAATTCCAAGAGAATATACTGGGTGGTTCGTAAGTTATGTCCTCACAAAGAATTGGGCAAAATTGATGAAACACCCTATATCTCGGATATAACACTTGTGAGACCCAACAAATATGTTATATTCAGAACCATCTTGACGAGTTCTACCTACCGTTGAAGTTTTTCCGTTTCCCAATGGAACACCCTGTATACTTCGTACTGTCTCTTCGATTTCTGATATATGATTTATGGACCAATAGACAAATAATTCGAAAGAGTGGGACACAAAAGTATCTCCAAATTACTCAAGCTATCGATGTCTTCAATCAATTCGACTTCTTCTCAGTTTCAGACGAATACTCATATAAGAATTTACCATTCACTATAGGATATAATATAATCATGATATACCTTGAACGGTTTAATCAGAAAGAGATAAAAACAGAAATTCCAGGATATCCCAACTTTCGACGATTGTATCGGCACTAAAATTTCATCAAGCCATCCCGTCAATTAATTTGTTTATCAAAAAAGTTTTTGTCGAGGTGGAACTCATATGTTCTTTTTGAACTTCTTTATATGCTCCGTAATCCTTTTCAGGAACCATATCATTTCAAACATGCCTTCACATCACGATTGGAAACATTCTGGTAACAATTTGAAATTTTGGCGAACACGCTCTTTCACTTTAAATTTCATACCAAACAATATTCATGGTAAAATAGTGAAATATGGTTCATATTTGTAAGCCGATTCGTAATTTCACATTATAAGAGTTATTGATAGTTTTGAAAGATATAGATGAATAGATGTATTGATTAATTATTGTGCTATGCTGTCTTCAGTATCTTTAATTTCTGTTATTTCATGTTACTTTCACCATAACTTCTGGTGAATGCGCGTATTCTGAAAGTAAATACTGTGCCATTCTGTAAGTCTTGAGATTTTCTTTCGAAAATGAATGTAATAAGTATCTAATCAATATTAATCATTGATATCAGTCGCATATCATCCAATAGGAAAGTATCTCTAATGAAATAATCTGGGCTTTTATTATGAAATGTGAATGGGTCAACTGGTCCATCACCCTGTAAAATGCTTTCAAGTCAACTGAATCTACGAGCATTTCTTGAATCCTCATTCACTCAATGAGTGTTATGACCTATTATCCTTGAGTAACTAGCTGGATGAACCATATTCACCAATAATTTCTTACTACTCCTGGAGAATTCCTCTTGGAATTCTTGAATGGAGTCTCGAAGGGTACATAATCCCTGTTATTGCCGCATATACGAAGAAAATTCCGCAAACACTGGGAGCGTTTCAGATTCCGCATTGTTTGGCCCATAATCTCGAATTTTTATTTCGGAACTTTATTTCAGCAGTTGAGACACGGGACCTCTTTTATAGAATGAATGTCTCTTTGTCTGGTCATTCTTTAGTATACTATAGTATCAGGTATGCATCAAATTGAATTTGGTCAATTAACTTACAAACCGATGGGAATATCACAAACTTTCAAGAGGGCTGAAAGTTAGGTATTGAATAAGAGAATAGTAAACAATATCGAGATTTGTTCAGTGCCGTATTCAGAAGGATTTCCATTCATATTTTAATCAACAGTACTCCAAATATGTATGATCCTTCATGTCAATCAAAATGGTATGAAATGTTTTTTGTGCAAAATAGTCCCTTTAGGGTGTCTGCAGAATTTCAGACAATATTGAAATATACAAGAAAATGAAAAATTAAAATTTTATATCGGAGAATATTCTTTTTCGATACTTTCATATCCAATCGATGGAAATTTGTTATTTCTACAGACCTCTTATCACAGATTCGTGATTGGGATTTCTCTAATCCGGTTTTTTTTTAGGCCCTGTTTGATGAATATCAATTTGTCATACATCTGAACAAAAAGGGCAAGCATGTTTTTTCAGTGTAGTGCGAAGGGTGTGAAATCAATGATACATTTTTCTCCGTGTATGCGGTGGTGTTATTCAAGGTAGCGAATTTTGAGCCATCGAACATCAGAGGCGGCATCAATACTTCCGCATCTGTTAGTTGGGTGATTTGTAATTTTTTTCCCAAAAGACTCGCGTTGCCATGCAACCATCACTCCAGAATGGACGAATAAAGCTGTTCGGTTCGAGTTGAATTTCACACTAACGGAGAGTGCTGCCAACTTCTCAATTACACTACCCTTGTTGTCAGATTGCGTTTTTACACGCAACTCTGATTAGGGTTACACTATTACACGAGAGTAGGTGCGCTTGCGCATAAACAGAAACGTACCTATTGAAGAAGTGGTCTGTATATCTGTAAGGTTTATTATTGTTTTCGTTGATCTGTGATCTGTGTCTGAGTATCAAGGGTAACGGTCTGACAGACACTGTCTATAAGACGGAATATGACCTTGGAAGATAGTCTTTGACTATCTGCTATAAGGAGTCAGAATGAATAACAAAATCGAGTATGACACATGGCAGAACGTCATTATCAATTCTTTTTTTTTTGTTCTTCTATGGAACTTTTCACTTCGGTGTAGTATTATGAGTCCAGAGGTTCGGTGTCATAATCATAATGGTGCGAAGAATCAACACTTCATGCTTCAACAGACCATACAAATAAATAATGTTTGGTTCCAAGCACGAAAATATGTGGATCCATGCAATAATTATCATAAATCGCCCAACTCATTTCATGCGAATTACACGCATTTGACGCAATGCAACCATACTACACGAATTTCGTGTAATTACACGCGAATTGGTAGCACTGCTAACGGATGATTTACACCACGATGGAGTCTTCCCTGCATCGTGATTCACACTGAGTTGCGCTGAGGCTATATTGCGAATTCAACTGGTCAGTACTGTCAGTAAATCTACTGACACTGCTGAAAGTCTGTGTTCCGAAATATAAAATCAAAAATACAGTGCTGTAATTCGGAACACGTTTTCATGGTTTTCATCAGTAGTCAGCAGCAGTTGATTAGTTGATGAAATTTGTCAGTCTGTAGTTTCTCATTTATCTGAACTAGATATTTAGCCTCCTCCTTGATATGAATTTTGGAAATTTAATATTTAACATGAAAGAGCAATCAATTCTTGCAGTCTCCATAGTTTCTACGATTGTTTACGATGACGATTCAATCTCGAGTGATGAAGAATACTTGGACATTTTGTTGCCATCAATTTTTCATGATGCACCAGATTGGGAAGATTCATGGAAATCGTAATATGACATTAATGATGATGAATTTGGGAGACATTTCAGGTTTATCAAGTTATTCATTTAACCAATGCTGCTTCTTCTTTCTTTACCTCTACTTCATACTCCATATTATTCTCAGCGTTCATTATTTCAATAACAGGTATTTTCTGTACATTCCGTTCCTCCTCCCTATGAAATAATGACAGTTCACTGAAGTCACACTACCATCTGATACTCAGCAATTTCAGCAGGATGTTGAGTCGAAATATTTGGAATGGATAGTATGTCTGCTCACAAGCATCTATCACTTTCAGTGAATTGTTTGATTTCGGAATGAAAAATCAGCAGATTAAGTCCTATCAGTTGAATTCGGAATCAAGTCTGATTCACCCTTTGCCACGTAATCGCCTGATTATCCTCATTATCCTCTTTCAGGCCGCATCCACAGTCTCAAGGCGCACATCAACCTCTGCGGAATGATTACGGAATGGGAGTCTTTGACCCGCAGACAACGAAAAGGGCTCAAATTGCTCTACAGGCACGGATGTTCCTGCGACATCAAGCGCTGCCCGCTCGGCAGGAGGTGCTACAGGCAGCGCGACAGCTGCAATTGGAGAAACGACTGCGAGATCAAGGAGGTGAGCAGTGTTGCCAACTCTACGGGTTTATCCGTTGATTCACTAGTGTTCTTCATATTCTCCTTTTGGACGTTTCCGGATTTTGTACATCGATACGAATTGTCGACGGTAATATCAGGATGTTCTGAATACTCGAAATAATTTTGTCTGTGTTATACTGTTGAGTTAACGATGAGAGACATAATTATGAGAAGATATTCAGAACAGGGTGGTATTTTGCTAGACTATTTCACGAAGTATAAGAAGCATTTAATATAAATGCACAAGCCATATAACGAAAACGATCCACTCTAACATCTATGTATAGCTATAAAAATTTCATGTCAAACTGACAGACTTTGCTCAGATATCCATAGTTACATCGCTGAAAACACCAACGCTGATAAAACAATCAGAATTGATAGACAACTTGTGTTTTCAGATCATGGCAGAATTTCATGATCGGTGAAAAAGTCAACAACAGGAATATCACGATATGTTCCGAATATTCGCGAATTTCGGAATACATGTTTTCGTTGTTGTATTTCGGCTTGATCAATAGCCCATGATTAGATACTGGAAAACTTCATGCTGTGTTTTCTAATTTGTATTCCACTTCTTAACTGGTAGTTTAATCAAAAATACAACAAAATGACTTACCAGCAGTAGACTGTCATGAAATGTGATATTTTTTTCTTATTCAGGAATAAGCCAGCCAAAATCGTGATAGGCACTCAGTACTAGTTTATATCGAAGTATTTCACACTTCGAAGAAATATCAACCTAACTCATGAATGACATCGCTAACCACAATGTAATTTTCAAATACAATTTGGCTATTTCAGATTTTTTATGTAAAAATATTGTATTTTATCTAACGGCACCTGTGACAACCACTATCCTGTGCGATGATTTGCACTTTCAATTTCGCGATTCGATAACGAGATGAGAATTATATCATCCGATAACATATGAATTCACAGAATATCTACTAAGCCAGAAACGAAGTTCAACTAGAATACTAGTGGGACTTCTCACAGGGCATTGTAGGCTCAACAAACACATGAGTACGATAGGTCTGTCTGAAGAACTGCTGTGCAGGTTCTGTCAAGAAGAGGAAGAAACAGCAGTACACATACTTTGCTACTGTGAGGGCTTGTCAAGACTAAGGTTCCTTACGCTGGGTGAGGAAAAACCAGGAGCCCAGAGATACACAGGAGATCTGAAAGCTAGCCTATGGAGTCTCATAGAGAAGGCGGGGCTAGCCGAAGAACTCTAATCGATTTTGAGGGCAGACACAATAGATCTGAAAAGGTCGCAGTGTGGAGGCAGATAGCCCGTAGGCCCCATTCCAAATCTAATCTAATCTAACATATGAATTGTGGATTCCAAAACCTACCTGCGTCACCCCTTAATCTGAGTCAAATCCACAGAACAGCGTTTTATTTGCTGCCATTATTCCGGACATACTTCTGTCATTCGATAAAAAGTTGAAACGAAAAGAAATTGAAAGGAAATAACGTTTTCTTTGCGAATATCCAGATATATAGGGGCTCACAACTTGTGAGTACGGGAATGGTGAACCCAAGCTAGCCGGATATTCACCTATCTTCAACTTGTCTCTACCTTTTCAAAATCATTCTATTGACCTTCCTTGGCCAACTTCTCTTTTCCTCTTGCCCTCCATGAAGCCCAACCTCACTATTGAGTGGTGAGAGGAGGAGAGACCGCGGCCGCTCGACAAAAGCATTTTGGAAACATCTTCGTTATCTCCGAGCCAGAAGGGACAATTTGTGTACATCTGTGGCAAGGATGGGACGATTTGTAGTTCACTCGTAGGAGAAGGAAAACTTTTGGCCTTCTTCGTAGACGAGAACAGGGATCGAAAGAGTCATCTTCAGGAATCTGAACGAAAGATTCTTTCATATTGAAGTGGCCCTCAATAAGAACCAAGAGTCTCATATGGTGAGGCGTATAGACGAGATACAATGAACCACTAGGACTAAGTTTCGACGGAGATATCGGTCAGAGGAGCCTACAAACGGGGTGGATAGTGTCTAGTGGGTATACCCCCTGGAGTCAGGGGACACCCAAACGATCAAATGGGGGATTAGTCACATTTGATTTTTTTTACGTTCTGTTATAATGTTCAGAGAACATCGTGAGAACCAAGGGAAATAAGATAGGAATCGGTGTTCTTCTTCTCAAATTTCTGGAGGTTATATGCCTCAGGGAACAACTCCCTTGGCAAAGTGTTCCAGAGTCTCGCTGTTCGTTGGATGAACGAGACTTTGGAAAGAGATGTTCTGAAGGTCTCCAAAGTGACCACGAATGGGTGCGAAGCCTCAACTCAACGGGTTAATCTCGCGGGGACTGCCAAGAAAGGAACAATTGTTGATATTTCAGAAGAGCATCGTCAATGAAAATGTCTATAAAATAGAGCTAGATCGCCAACTTACATGTCTATAAAGTATTTCAACGACCTCGAAAAAATAAGTGTCAACCCTTTCGGATTTTTCCGCAGACCTAAATTTGTTCTCATGTTATTTGGAGATCTAAATATAAGGTAATCGATCACATCGTATTTCTACGAAACTGCATGTTTTACGGTTTCAAAAGAAATATTCGATGTCATATCATAAAGAATTCGTGCTACAGACAGCACGACAGCTGTATAGATAATTGGGAAAACCACTGCGAAACCAGGGAGGTATGGCAACACATTCTGCTGTCGAACGCATTGCCTGAGGGTTATAGGGCGGGAAATAATTGGAACAAGCCGGATGGAAGTAAAAACTCTAGATGCCTCGATTTATTCATATAAAACGAAAAAGCATCTGCCAATAATTCCAAACGAATCAATGAATTTCTTGTGGGATGACTACGGGTGTGGGTCAATCATATAGAAATGCCATAGATATATAGAGAAATAGTGATCACACAACCCAACAGCCCTTCAATATTCCTTCCATCACCTCATGTTTATAATTAATCTCGATTTCTATGAATTAATGTAGGTACGGGCTCTACGTACGTGAACATGATTATACCTCACTTTCCAAGGTTTTGGTCTAAGTTTCGACGAAGCAGTTTGATATATCTTCAATGTTCCGGTCACTTTTCCTGTTTTCAACTATCATATAAAGGTACTCTGAGGATATTCTCATTCGAGTTAAGTTCGAGTAAATATGAGATTGGAATACAAAAATGTTTAATGACAACCACACAAAATCAGAGATTCATCCATAAGATTTAGTCAAATTGATTTTCTCCTGGTCCTATAGCTAATAATTTCATTGATTCTAAAAATCTTCTGTGTGTGATGGTTACTTTCCGAAGGGCCAGAAGGGGTACTCAAGGCTTGTAAAACAAGTTTTACGTCAATGCTGAGGAGTCCTCCAGCAATCCTCAGATAAGGAAGACTTGAAAAGTTCTTATTGATCTTGTTGATCAAAGAAAATGTCTAACTTTCAATTGTTCAATAGACAAGAACAGGAACGAGTGAATTTAATTTGAATGTGATGCATAAAACTAGAATGCATCATTTTCATCATGATGAGTAATGCTGATGTGATTAAAAAAACTGAAACTGGAAAGACCATATATGAATATTTGTTATTATTGAAATCAGATTGATCTTCAGTTCGAAAAGCCGATGATTTTTGAATTATTTCAACTAACCAAATAAATCAATTGAGACGGCAACGCTGTTGATCTGACTAAATAGTGAATTATGGATTATATCCGACAACCAATAAACGGGCGAAGGGTTCTAGTATTTGAGACGTCATTATCTATCCCTGGAGGGTTTTCGTCGTGTTCGACGTAGGGATTCGTGTAAAAAAATCCAAGGAAACTCTCTCAATGTGTGAACGTCATGGTATTTTTTCTAGAAATAAGTGTTCTCGCCTACTGAAAAATAGTTATTTATTATACAAGGGAAAAAAGTAGTAGATTTTAGCACCAGGTTGTGTTGTCTCCCGACGCGTAGCGTAGCTCCTGATGAAGTTTATTTAATGGCCAAAGTTGTTGTTGTATTCGGGATTGCAGGAGCTTGTCGAATTTGTGAAATCAGCCAGGTAACATTAGATGATATTGAAGATTCAGGAACGATATTAATTGTGAAACTCAAGCAAACAAAGAATGATGTGGACAGAAGATTTGTAGTTACTGAAGAATATATTAAATTTTACCGAACATACATAGCCCTGCGTCCAGCAACAGCAAAGGATCGCCGCCTGTTTTATGCATATCGCAATGGAAAATGTATCAATCAAGTTGTGGGTAAAAATCAGTTTTACAAGGTACCTGAAATAGTAGCTAGTTTTCTAAAACTTGAAAATGCTACCTCATATACAGGTCATTCATTTCGAAGATCATCTGCTACACTTTTAGTTGAATCTGGGGGAGATTTGCTGACACTGAAGAAACATGGCGGTTGGAAGTCATCAACGGTCCCTGAAGGATATGTTGATCATAATAAAACAATATCACAGTTGAGAAAATATTACATATTATATTCTCTCAACTGTGACAATATGCTATTATACTATGGCCGCGGATCTATTTAGCAACTTCTGATCCGTATCTTGCTCCGGACGCAAACGGCTTCGGTGAAAACTTTTATTTCGGTACGCTAGAGAGGTTTTTCACGGATAAGTTATACAAATAACTATGTTTCTCACATCGCGTCACAACTTTTTTTTATCGCTTGGAGCGCACGTAAGGAAATCCCTATATTGATTTCCATTTGACAACAGTATCTGAGAAAAATGATTATAGACGTAACGTTACATGATTTTTCAAGCTCTTTCATTACGTAAATTGATGAGGGATCAAAATATACAGAGACTATAATAAGTCTCTACTTATTTTTCTCTATGAACATGTGTCTGGAAACGCTTTGGAACCGATCTACAGACCGTTAAAATTTTGAGATTTCTTCTTTTTTCTTTATAGTTCTATTGGTTTTCGAGATATTCAGATCACAGGAATAAAGGATCCACCCAATACAGTATGCCGAATGATTGTAACAATCTACAGGGATACATTTTTTGACAGGTCAAGCCCTTTTTTGCTCCATAAACATTCCTCAGGTGCGTCACTGGTATATTTTGAAATACGAAATGAGTGCTTTGTTTTGTTTATGAACTTTTTTGTCACTTGTAATTTTGACACATCTGCGAACTTGATCAAGAAAAAAATTGATTTCTTGTAATTCGCTATACTCAATTGTATTTAGAAAAAAAGCTACATATTCAGTTTTTGATTTCAATTACATATTTCTAAATATTATCTTAGGAATGAGAAAGCTTAGAAATCTTGACTTCTTATGGAATGTGCTGGAAAATGAAAAAAATCTGGGAATTTCAACGCTCTGTAGAACGGTAACGAGGCGTTTGCGGAAACATATTCTAGAAAAAAAAACATTTTCACCCGAAGAATAAGTACCTGAAATTTTGATACTGAATTTCAAAACACCCTGTACATATATGGTGACTGGAGACCCAGTAGCCCTGTGCTTCGTGCATTATCATTTATTTTCTCGCTTGATATACTGAAGAAGACGATTTAGTTTTTCTTTCAGTATTTTCATAAAAGTCATGTATTATTTCTTCATTCTCACCGATCAGTGATCCATCTCACTGCAAATAAAAGATAGCTGGGAATTGAATAGGAATTTCTGAAATATTCTGGATAATTGTTGGGAGACGGAAATCACATCTTCTCCATTTGATCCCGCCTTTAGGTATTTTCAATTCTATAGATGTCACCTTTCCAATTGGATGATTCTCTCAATGCTACTTTTTTTTCCTTTTTTTCAGGGAGTGTGTCTCCGACAGTCCAATAAATCTTGTATGTGGACCAGAACTAAGGCTCTAACGCAATGTACGAGAGAATGGAGGCAAAATGCCACGAATAGCAGAGGATATCGATATAATAAATCCTTGTTTTACCATTGAGCAGGGATTGAGGACGAAATATTCACAGATAATGTTGTATATATGTGTAAATGTTAGTTGTTAAGGATATTTTATGTACAAATTGTCCAGTTTAAATAACGGAAATAATTTTCCATCAATATCACAATTTCACAATAATTTTCAGTAACCCATGGACATTGAATACAATTTCATAACAGATTTCGAGAGCATGTTGCACATGAACAACATGCTTGAGAAAACTGTCAGACAATTTTTGAGCCATGGTATCCAGATCGATATTTCTATGTAAACAGAATTTTTTGGTATACTATTCGATTCGATAACTCCATTCAACTTCTCGTCAGTATTAAAAAAATCGAGACATTTTGAAATTATTGAATAGGAAGGCATCAAAATTTATGAATAGCAACATAATAGTGAGAAAATAGCCCATGATATCTGTTTTCATTATAATCTTGTTTATTATGTTGTTCTGATTGATTGTGTTCCTTCAGATGATCTGAAACTAGAGTTGAATTGATAGGTTTCTACTTGAAAATTCCGTTTTGTAATAGGTATCTCAGTAATCTCCATTTTTATAATTTAGATTTAATCTTCGAATTGAAAGTCATGCATAGTTGCTCACCATTTCTCGGTGGTCTGGATAGAAAGTCTGTTCTATCAGCGGAAAGTTTTCTTTTCCCAATCTTCTCTGAAGTTGTACAAGATGTCCGAAAACCCATGGTTTATCCTGAAAATATATAAATGCAAAACTCATGGTGGAAAGTTGTTGTGTTGTGTATTTTGTATTTGTTATTTATTTTTTAGGTTTCATTAACATTTATTGTCACTTATAATACTCTATTGATGAACAAATTTGAATTCATATTACTTGATATACGGGTTCTTGATATCGGGTGTTCGAATGAGCAACAGAAATGTTCATGCATTATGCTCCTGGTTTCGACAATTTTCAACCGATTTCGATTTAATTTCCTTTCCTGAATCCAAAAGACTATAATTCATACTGAAATAATTAGAAATTGTATTATTCGAAGGAACAAAATGGCTGACTATTTCAAATAGTTTCAAATTCTAGTCATACACAAAAACCACTGGCAAATATGAAAAACTGCAACGCCTATACCTTCTCGCGATCTATAAGTTGTCATTTTGTTGAGGATGAAGAATATAAATATCTATTCCATATTCATCGATGATATTTGATAGTCATTCATTATTTAAATTCTCACAATTTTTTTCCAATAATGAAAATAATCACCTCTCAAAGATTCCTCAACTACCAATGAAAATATTCTCGAAACTCTCTGTGATGAAATACCAAATTTCGTACATGCACCAAACTTTTTATGAAGAATTTGGAAATGGCGTCGAAAATACGTGGAGCTAGGGGCCCTTTTTCCCCCTATTTCTCTGTTTATGAAATGTTCCGCACTTCGGCCAGGAAATATAAAAATATGATTATATTTACTAGAAAATTATACTTTTGTTCAGTTTCAATAGCACTCACCATATTTGAGATGAATCGATTGAGTCAGACATCAGTAGTAGATGTTAGAAGTGGTATTTTTCGTCAAACCATAATCTTTGGGAGAGTTATCTACGCAGTAGAATTTCAATAATCGATTCATCGTGAAAATGATTAATGCTATCCAAACTCAACAGGAGTAGGTAGCATTTTCAAGTAAAATTTTTGAGATTTCTATATTTCCTGGTCAAACTGCCAGAAATTGCATAAACAAAAGAGTTGGGAGGAGAAGTTCTCCTAGCCCTACCTATTTCCTACGCCCCTGGCCAAAATTTGATGAAAATTCTCAACATTTCAAATCGTGGATTACCAGTTAGGTACATGTACAAAATTTTACTATTTTATCACAGAGGGTTTTGAATATATTCACATGACCCCATCATCTCGAGCGCCATTTTAGATGGCGTTCAACCCCCCGTAGGGCCATCTCTGGACCCATATTCATATGAACTTTTTTAACTATCTTTGTTTCTAGAATCCGTGGTTGAGATCTTCTTATGTCATTTCGGGCAACCCTGTATAAGTTGCAGTGGATTGTTGGCGATAATTATATCGTCGCGCGTTGTTTCACCTCTTTCATGTTATCGAATATCTTGAATTTCGATGAATATTCAGAAAATGGACAGAGCTCTTATGGAAATACAGTTCAAGACAGTGTGAATTTTTGACTGAAACAGGCCCAATGGAAACTTCGAAGAAATCAGTATTGAACAAATTCATTTTTATTTCTATTATTTCTTCAATTGACTGCGACAATTTTCAATGTTCGCGATCAATATTCCATTGGTGTATTCTTGATCACAGCAATTCCTTTCACGCATAATGGATCCAAGCAGAGTAAAATTAATCTCGATTCAGAATTTTCTATTTTTCTATTCGCCAGCGGTTTCTGTATATCACTGAAGTTTGGGTTAGTCCTTCATATTTTTTTTCATTCAATTATTGAATCCTGGAACACTTCATTGTGAACTATAGTCGCTACCTTCCAAATAAAGTCAGAAAAATCACAACAAGTGAATAAACTCAGGAACCAGAAGCAAAACTTCGTTTCCCAACCCGATAGATTTCGCTTTGCGTGAGATAATGATAAGTTCGTATTAAGAATTATGATTTTGGTCTATTTTTTTCAAACTACATACTCACCATACTTGAAAGTGCCAAAGTTCAAATTGTTGTCGGGCGCGTTTTGACCAGGGTCGATAATTTTTTAATAAGAATTTTAGTAGAATGAAACCCATTGAAAAAAAAAGAGAATATAACAAAAATGAACAAAAAAATGAATAACGGTCGATCTCAGGTCGGAAAGTGGAAGGAGGTCAGCTTTTAAGGGTAAAAAACGGCCAATCCCGATTTCTGGCACAAGTCCTATGAAAAAAAGTTGACTGGCAAGTTGAAGGTAGGTACTGGGAAGATCTATAACTGATCATCCCAGTACCCCATAACCTCAAAATCTATGTGAAACATTCAAATACCTAACCAAGTTTATGGTTTTGGAAAATGTTTCCATGAAATTTTGTGAAAATCAACCTACCCTATTTGATACAATATCGAAAAAGCACCCTAATTTCTGCTTTTCCAAAAAAGTCGATGGATTTTTTGTTTGCTGAAATCTCTACGTCTTGATGGTGTGAAGATATGTACATCAATAGGGTAAATATTCTCAGAAATTGCAAAGAAACGAAACTCGAATCCGAAATCATTATGTAGGTACCCGGTGAACAACTAATAAGAACGGCTATCATATCGATCATTCTTCCAACTTTGATAGTTAATATCTTCCGTTGGCGAAAAGCTATCATGTTGCGGTTTCCGTTGGTCTGTTGAGATTTAGTTTCTTTATTACATCGTGTAATGATATGCATACCATTAGATTTATTCTATCTCAAACTTGTATCATTATTCGTTGCTGAGGTATGGCCTACAGCCGTTCTTAGTTGTCCACCCTGTACAATTGTGAGCTATTTATTAAAATTAACACTAATTACTGAAAATGTCAAATCCCTAAAACATTCAGATTGCGAAAAAAAAATGCGGAAATACTTGTTCCAAATAATAAAGATAAGATTTTAAGGGGATCATCTGAAAAAATGTGCGGTGAGAAAATCAATATTTCAAATGAAAGAATACTGTGTATTTGGGAGAGGGGTCGTAGTTCTCCCCAAAATTCGGGAGATTTTTTTTCTGTGATAGATGGAAATAAACAACCAAAATCTTGATTATTAAAATTTTTCACATAAATTTTGAGGTAATGTGGAAAAAATGTGGATACAATAGTTAGAGATCTTTTTCACAACTCTTCCATTCAACTTTTCTCCATAGGGCTTGAAATTTCGCCGGAAATCGAGATGACCCGTTTTTCACTCCTGAAAACTCACCACCTACCACTACTTGACCTCAGACTGCCCGTTATTCATTTTTCCACTTATCTTTGTTATATTCTCTTTCTTTTTCATTGGGTTTTATTCTACTGTAATTTCTTTTACTTTTTACCGTTTTCGAAGGCTTCGATCAGCAACTGGTCTAGTATACACGCTTCCGATCTGGGTGGCGATGATTTGATAATCTAATATGATTCAATTATGATAGTGAAATGTTCTGCAGTTGAAAATTCTCGCACTTTTCGTGGTCAATCATCTGAATGAAGAGTCATATATACGAATTGTAAGAAGTTATTTTGTTCAATTATACTCATTTTCAGAACTCCTGAAATCTAATAATCTCAGTTCTCCTTCAACAATAAGTTCACTTGGGGATATTGGGAGATAACGACTACAATTACTTCTCTGTACGCAACTGTACAACATTCGCTAGAAATCAGAGATACTGACTTGCTTCTTATTGTTGTTGCCTCATTTTTCTACTTCATCATCGTATCAGGAAACATAAGCTATTGGTTATGAAGAGCGTTTAGACTGCATTAATAATTCCAAGAGACATCCATCGAAAATAATAAAAAAATAATTTGTGATGGGATTACTTACCTGGAAGTTGAAAATGGCATTCAAATTGTTAATGCTTGGAACTCCACCGAATTTCAATGCAAGCAGTAGTCTTTTATAATCTTCACCAGCGTCTCTCATGTTCTGCCTGACCTGTAAACGAAAAAGATATAACGGCCAGAGTTTGGTTCCAACTTTCAACATTACGAAGATCTCGGGGAAGGAATATTACATTATAATGCTAAAAAGGTCATGTTTTGCGAATAATTTGAGGCATTAGCAAAGGCTATCAAAGGCTAGCAATGGCGAGCATTGAATGTATAATAACCCGATATAAGCCGAAATAAGTATTTTGCTGTGCTGGTATTGACTAATATTGCATATTATAATTATGCATGTCTCCGGTATAAGTATAACAATGTTTTTTTCGCGTAAGTCACTGTATAAATATATTAAACATTCTTGAAATAACTGTGTTAAACACGCTTATAGTAATTAAGCTTATTTTTGTACCTTTTATGATTGAAACTATTACGAGATTGTACAAATGTATTTTAATAACAATTAAATTCAAATGAAAACTCATGAGAATTTTTTTTCCAGCGAATTGAATTTAGGGTACGTGGTCAAAACGCCTCAAAAGCCATGTGGTCAGTCAACCAGTAATTTCACGAAATCAAATTTCAATTGTGAATGGATTGGAAGAGATAGAAATATTTTTCCAATTCCTACGATTTAACTATTTGATCACCCTAACGTTTGATTTCTCTATAAAGTTTATAGTTCCAATATAAGAAAACATGGGCAACAAATTGAAATTACACAAACTTTTCGAAAACACGAAATGTCTCTCTGACAATAGTAGCTTCTCCAAGTTAAATAACCATACAACAAACAAACCCAAATTTGATTTGCCCAACTTATATAAGTAGTCCATATACTTACGAACCAGAAGAATCAGAATAATTTGTGATATGCATGATAATCCACATGAAAATTCGGTGTGATAAATGAACTTGAAACAGGTGGCTGCAAATATTACCTCTATCAAGAATATGAATTCAATAGTGGTGACTTATTGAGAAAATGTCTTCAAAATTTTTGTCATCAAGAAAAAAGTGAGCTTTGCATTTCTTCACGAATAAGACTAGCGAGAGTTGGCCAGGTAGCCGTGCGGACAGAGTGTCTATATTCTAATTCGCATTCGCTTGCCGGTCGTGGGTTCGATCCCCGTCGACTGCAGAAATTTTTCTGATGGCCCAAGAAAGTGTTTGGGATCACACGTTAAAAGGTAAGGCCCCCGTCATTCCTTGCTCGCACAAGACTTTCGAAGACTTTTGAGGGTTGCTCGTAAGGGGGCAACCGAATGACGGATAGAACAAATTTCAAACAAATTTCAAAAATTTCAGAAAAAATAGCAATTTTCATAAAATGAAAAAAAATCCAACTGGCTCACTCAGAAAACAAACTAGGATTGTGAACATACATCAATAGTGCATAGTTTTTGAAACAAAAAGAATCTAGTACGATGAAATCCATTGGAAACGAAAGAGAATATAACAAAACTTGAGAAAAATAACTATTTGTATTATATAACAAGGGAGGAAAAGGTACTATACTCCCATGTTATACGGATGATTTTTCCGCATTCCTCAAATAACACGTCATTTTTTGATAATTTATTTATGATACTGCTGGACCACTCTGGGATACAATGTGAAATGAAAAACTCTAGGAATGGTTCCCGGAAAGTTGGCTGCTCAGACACATGTGAAAGAGTCTTTCAAAGTACTCTTTCCCCGAAGAGACACGATTGAGCAAGTGGATCAGTTCAATTACCAGAGTACGAACACGTGATGTACACAGATGGTTCGAAAACCCTTCTTGGAGTTGAAGCCGGTGTGTTCAGCAGAAAACCATAGACGGAATTCTCTGTCAACCTTGGTGAGTATGCTACAATTTTTCTGGCGGTGGTCTTCGCAATTGATTTGTGTGCTAGAGAGTTGACGAATAGACCTCTAGTAAACAAAAACATCGGTATTGTATCCGACAGTAGGCTGCTCTTGAAGCACTGAGCTCCAGCAAGATAAATTCCAAGCTTTTATGGAGCTGTATTGAATCCCTAGAATGACTAGGTGCAAACAACAGAATTATTTTGCTGTGGGTGCCTGGACACCAGGAGGTGGTGGGCAACGGGAAAGCAGACATCTTCGCCAAACAGGAAACCGAATCTGTGTTCAACCAGAACAATACTATCTCGGACTGGGCGGAGGGGAAAAGACTCACGTGCTATTCTGAATTTTCTGCCTAAACCATAAAAAAATATAACCGGGCAGATCCTAGAATGGAGTAGGGGTAACCTGCGAATTCTGACAGGACTGCTTACAGGACAGGAAGGATGGGTCTGAACCAAAAACGGACTGTCGGTTCTGCTGTGTGGAAGATGAAACAGCTGAACACATATAATGTTCATGCTCTTGCTTAGAGAGACTGAGGTTCGATTTGGCTTCACTAATTTAGAACCTATCGATTTCAGACAAGTCTCACCCAATTCAACCAAGGACTTTGTAAAAAGATGTGGATTGTACCGTGTACTGTAACCTCTTGGGGTCGCAGTGGAGGCGCGGTATTTGTGGTAGAGTAATCGAAACAGATACAGGGTTATCATAATTTTGAATCAAATGTCAGTAGATGTTTTTTTTTGTTCTGGTTCCCACGAAAAGGGATATCCTGTAATGTTCAGAGAACATCGTGAGAACCAAGGAAAATGAGGTAGGAATTGGAGTTCTTCTTGAATTTCTGGAGGTTACATGCCTCGGGAAACACCTTCCTTGTCAATGTGTTCTGGAGCCTCGCTGTTCGTTGTATGAACGAGTCTTTGGAAAGAGATGTTCTGCAGAGGTCTCCAAAGTGACCACGAAGGGGTGCGAAGCTCCAACTCGACGGGTTAATCTCGCGGGAACTGCCAAGGGAGGAACAATTGTTGATATTTCAGAAGAGCATCGTCCATGAAAATATCTATGAAATAGAGCCAGATCGCCAACTTTTCTACGGTGTTCCAGAGAAGTGAGTGGGTTTGTGAGCGATGCATCACCCACGAGACGAATTGGCTTTTTTTGAACAGAATCCAACAGTTTCAGGCTATGTTTTTTTTTGTGCTGCACTCCAAATATGGGAACAGTATTCCAGGACAGGTCGGATTTCTGCCTTATAGATCATAAGCAGGTGACTGGAACTAAAAAGGCTCTTGGCCAATAATGAATGAATTCTCGATTTTGAACAATTGATGGAATCAGCTCTGTAGGGAGAATCTGAAGATGCAATGATATACAGGGTATTCCATTCAAAAAATAGCAACTGTGTGTTTAGGTCAACAATGCCGTATGAGTTATGCCATCGATGACGTATCATGACATTACTTTCACTTTTCCTGCCTAGGGAGGAAAAGTTAGGGAGTAGAAATTATTTACCACCCCAGGGAAAAAAGTACGACTTTGTTCATCTCATGGAAAAGGTGGCGGCATCCGCGTTGTGCGTGTCCGATAAAATATTGTATGAATTGGAAAACAATGGTGGATAACGAAAAAAGAACCTTCCTGAAAAATGCAAGGAATAACACTGAAATACACCCTCCTAAAATTGTAAGAGCGTGTAACATTGATCAATTTGAATTACCCACCAAGGGAAAATCCGGCCTGAAGGAGTGGCTCACCCTTGAGCCGCCCCTGAGCACTCTCATGGAAAAGGTGGCGGCATCCACGTTGGTCGGAACCGATAAAGTGTTCAATGAATCGAAAAACAATGGTGGATAACGAAAAACATCAACAAACACTGGAATACATCCTCCTAAAATTGTAGACAATGTTTTTCCTGAATGCTGATTTGTGTTTGAATGGGCGAGTGGACTGATAATGAATTATTGGCATTCATTTACTCCACTGTGTAATTAAGAACAAAAATTAATTTTTGCAACACTTCTCAAGCTTTTTTTTCATGAAAATGATTGTTTGGAATGGGCTTATATCACAAAAAAAAATATTTCATAATTCGATAGAACTCACCCAAACTAGCTCACCACCGCAAACCGTTTCTTGCTGTGAGCTCCCTACGTTTTATAAAAAATTATTGAAATCCCCGATTTTGCGGACCTTTGAAAACGAGGCGATGATGTGACGTCAAAACCCTAACACTGAAACAAGACTATTCCAGGCAGAGATGAATGATACATGATTTCTGACAGAGTGAATTAGCGCGATATCACAGTTGAAAGAATTGATATATCAGTTGCCTCAGTCTCCGTCGGGCGTTTGGTATTTTCTTTCAACTATGGCGAGAGGAGGTTTCTACGTCATAAGAGGGGCCGTTTTCAGAAGGTTTTATTATTTATGTCCAAAAATAAATCATTCCAGTTAATTTTTCGATCGAATTATGTCGTCAATCATTATTAATGTATAAAAGGATCGTTATAAACTGGAGGTGCACACGCCCATTGTTGAAGTTCAGAGCTCATTCCGAACGAACCTTCATGGCCGCCATTTGGCGATACGTCGAATAAACGGTGACGTCAGTTTTCATGCCGTTTCGTTATTGGTCAGATAATCTTCCATTTCCACTCATGGAACAAAAGGTTGTCAAGTCACCAATTATAATCAAGTCATCAAGAAGATGTTTGAGTCATGTTGTTGAATAAAACATAATGGGAGGAACCCACCCAGCAAACATCGACAGACGGTAGAAAGCCGGGCCCATGGCGAGAACGGCGGGCAAATGTCGATGTCGGCATGCCTCGAAAGGCCCTCCATATAATTTCGAAGGATTATGTGACGAAGGCAGAATGTACACATAGTTATGATATGGGCCTCTGTTTCCTAGCCGCTAGTCTTCCGCTGAATGTATCCAAGTCCAAGGGCCATCAAAATTTCAACGGAGTGTGCCATCATCACTCACTCAACGTTGGCATCCCTCGCTCGCGTGCAATTTCATTTTGATCATTTTGCAGTGGTAACAATGATTCAGTATGGCGTATATTAATGTCTTTGTTTATGTTGTTTCAACACTCTCAACAGAGATTTTTGTACTGTGTTCAGTTCGTGTTTGGTTTCCCAGTGGATTTTTATACAAAATGGAAGGGCATTGAAATGAATACAGAGTGAGTAAGGAAAAAACATATATACAGACTTGCACAGCTAGATAATTCTCCAATTTTAGGCAATAATTTTACAAACACCATTGGACAAACATATGATAATATATGAGGATTTTGAAGATGCATGAGCTTTCATTACATAATATGAATCATAAATCTATTTTCCAAACGAAAATCAAAGAGTACCTACTTGGAGAAACAGTTATATTTCAAGAATTACTGTAGGTATGTATGTTTTGGATTAGTAGAGAATGAAATCATTCAATCTTTCAGCTACAAAATCAACAACCAGAAGCCCATCAATCACAGATATTAATGAAGAAATCACACAAGTTTCGTTATTGGTCAGATAATCTTCCATTTCCACTCATGGAACGAGGTTGTCAAGTCACCAATTATAATCAAGTCATCAAGAAGATGTTTGAGTCATGTTGTTGAATAAAACATAATAGGAGGAACCCATGATGTTATATTCATTCTTGACTTTTTCGAGCAGCATGTCCAGATATTTCTTATTCTCCATAACAAAATATCATGTGAATGTTGGAGACCTGGCAACATTGTGTTGAATGCTGAGAACTGACAAGACCACGCCCACAAGTCTTGCGCCGTAGTTGTTACGTTCACCGATTCAAATGTCCTCTAGTGTGAATTAGTATAATTATCATTTACACAAATTTATTATGAGCGATAAGCTACATAACATATGGAAATATTTTGAGACAATTGAATTTTTATTGCTAACTTGGAATATTACCAATACTCAATTGAGAATTTATGACTTATTGAATAACTGATATTTCCGAAGTTCCCAATCGTATTTCAACACATGGCATCTGTGCTATGGTCTGCCCCTACTTACGAAATCGTGGCGTCAGTTTTAACTTGCGTTAAGTTTCTAGTTGTTTGAAAACTAATGTGACATTATTGATGATTTCAGTACCTAAAAATCCACCAAGAAATTCATGTAATATATGAAATTGAGAAATTGAGAGGTATTCGAGTGATGATTGGAGCCTATTGGAGCCAAGTACCGTGTAACCACCTGCAGACCGGCATCTTATTCCTTCTTGTTTCCATCGGAGTCTAACAATAATTAATGATCAATTAGAATCACTCACCAAGAGGAAATCCGGCCTGAAGGAGCGCCCCACCCTAGTGCCGCCCCTGAGCACCGTCATGGAGACGGTGGCGGCATCCGCGGTGGCCGTGACAGTGATCTCCCTGAACTCAGCTTGCTCCACGCGGATCTCACAATCGCCGATGCGCCTGCCCCGGAAGTACTTGCCCCAGTCGGTGTTCTGGTCGTCGATGACCAGAAGAGTGAAGTGTCTGCCAGATGGCTGAAAATGAAAAATAATAAATATTCTCTTTTTTCTGTCACTGGAACTGGAAAAAGTTTCTGTTGACAGGCAATAGAATGTCACTTTTCATAACAAAAATTTCCCAGATATTTATATATACACTGTTGATGGCCTTTGTTGTGGCAGTTCCGAAAATAAACCAATAACACCGTCTCCTAGAAAGAAGTTCTTATGTCTTCCATTCGACTTCGCGGTTACGTAAATTACAACCACTAAATTCGCAATTTCTTTGAATTGAATCACAGAATTAGATTGAGAGATTTGATTACCCCAAAAGAATGATAAAGATTCCTCCAAAAAGATGCCAAAAACGCAGGTGCGATTCCTGTTAAAAACATGAAATTTTACGTCGATCGTTTTCTGATTTTGATAGATTTTTTTTTATGTTCTGGATCCCATAAAAAGGAATATCCTGTGAAGTTCAGAGAACATCGTGAGAACCAAAGGAAATAAGGTAGGAATTGGTGTTTTTCTTAAATTTCTGGAGGTTATATGCCTGGGGGAACACCTCCCTTGGCAGTTCCAGAGCCTCGCTGTTCGTTGAATGAACGAGTCTTTGGAAAGAGATGTTCTGCAGGTCTCCAATGTGACCACGAGGTGAAGCCTCATTTCGACGGGTTAATCTCGCGGGGACTGCCAAGGGAGGAACAATTGTTGATATTTCAGAAAAGCATCGTTCATGGAAATATCTATGAAATAGAGCCAGATCGCCAACTTTTACGTCAATTACGTTAATATACTGGGGTGCTTCCATGAAAAGTAAGACAGAATTTATCATTTCAGAACTGAAAATTTCCCAGAGGGAATATGAGTACTTAGTGAATTTGACAAGACGAAATTGTTCTTTTCCCGAATCCGCAGTGATAACCAACCTATCTTGTCTGATGATATGATTTCCCGGACATGTAGGTGGTTCCATAGCTGCTAGCGAGCAGTGTATATCTCTAATGGTAATTTCAATTGGCCATTGACTATTTCTTTGGAATATTTCTTGCTCCTGGAAATTTAACAGTCCTTACTCGATAATTACGTAAGATACGGAGATGTTTCCATGAAAAGTGATACAAAAATGACTGGAACTGGAAATTTTCCAGGAGAAAATTGAATAGTCAATGAATGGATAGAGTCCTGATTCCGAATTCGAAGTGATTTTCAACAAATTGCGACTCCTAATATGATTTTCCGGAAATTGGAGTAGTCCCATGGCTGTTGGCGAGCAGTGTTTATCACTGCAGACTACCCCACTTGGTCATAGAGTGCATTTTTGTTATATCTCTCGCTCTTGTATAGAAGTATATATACATATATATATCTCTCGATGTTTGCTAGGGAATCGTAATTATTGAATATAAGAGCAAGGAACAACTTCTTGGACCCTTCGAATTTCAAACTAATTATACATGACACAACATTGGCAATAGACAGTGCATTCGACAAATGACACTCAATGTCACGGTACCTGTAGATACTTGCTGCCAATAATGCCGAAATGTCTGACCCTTTCCAAGTGGAATATATGGTCAATTATTGAGAATGTCTACTACATAATTATTAGAGTACGGTTGCTCAGTTTCAATTCAATTATGTTCTGGAATCTCGACCTCAGATACCGAAATCCTGTGAGGAATGAAATGACATAGATATGTTAGAATCGCATTGGTAGTAAATGTTTGACAAGCGGGTTGATATATTCAGAGGAGAATGTGATGTGCTGAAACTATGCTATTTCAGGAATTCGGGTAGCGGCTCATCATAAATATGGGACATCGTCTTCCTTGTCGGCTAGATTTTTCGGGAACATTATCAGAAATGAGAAAGTGTTCATTATTCAGCATCAGTGCATATTAATGTTTCAATTTTTGAATAACAAGTTTTCGAAGAGAGAACTATTCGAACGAATAGCAATACAGAGTTTTCAGAATAATCGTTTCATCACCAGTTATGTAGTATTGTACTTTACGCAACTTTACGCAACTGGTTACGTAAAGTAAGACATATCGAAACTTCCGTCAGTTTTGAAAAACATCATATATCACATGTTGAAATTAGAAGAAACTCATTTCGTGAAAAAGCTGCTCGAATTCTGGAGAGAAGCCATCGAAACGAATTCATTTCCATTTTTTTGATGCAGAGCTAGATCATCAGTTCATGTCACTATTGTCGATTCGTGACAAATTGTAATGCTCATTGTAATGTGCCTATTGCATCCTGTGTATATTGCTTTCATCTGGCCTGTTCTGTTTGAATCAACTATAGTATGATCTATCGATTTATGCTAGAACTGAAATATATAATTATGAACAATGGATGAAGGGATAATGAGTAGATCAATATCTCTACAATTATCAGTTAACTGGAAATTGGATCTTCACATAATTGTGTGTCTATTAGGATCTGTTTTCAACTCTAGTACGTCTGTATGTGAGGAGGTAGGTGACCTGATGGGCTCTTCTAAAACTGAAATTTACTAGATTCATTCCAAGGAATGGGCTGGTGGCCGTGAGCGTAGAGTCGCTGGCTGTCGCCCAGGCGGTCCGGGTTCGATCCCCGGCGCGAGCACTGAATTAATTTTCGGTAGTTTCGTTGGGCGGGAGGAGATAGGTGGCCAACCCAACATTCTTGGTACCTAGATATCAATCCTTTGGACTGTCCACGGTTACCAGCCGAGTAGTGCTTCGGATGACACTTAAAAAGCTAAGGTCCCCGTCTTCTTAACTCACACAAGTCTCTGACTTTCGAGGGTTGCTTTGCAACTAAGCTGGCGGTTAAAAACACTTTTAAACACTTTTTTTTTAATTCAAATTGAGAAACTGACAAAATCAGGATTTATTAATTATTTCATATTGAAGATTCACATTTTGAGTATACATTAGGGCTTTAGTTAATTGGCTAACAAAATTCCTGTTTGTCGTTAGTTCGTAGGAGGCGCAATATGAGTAGATTCTATCATGGTAGAAAATGGCTATAGGGGGGATAAACCCTATCAGGCGTCATACTTGTTCACCCAAGGAAAAACAGGAGTAGATATTTTATAGTATAGTATAGTTAACATGTTATTGAGTTATGATGAACTAAAATCACCGTATTTCAGTGAAGGGGTGAATCACCCCTTAGGCACGATACACTCCAATTGTGAAATGTCAAATGGTTCTACCCCTTTTGTGATACCTTATATTTGAAATTTGTGAAATTTGTACATCGCCACTTCGAAGTTGGGAACCAACTCCTCAGAAGTCGAAACTTGTGCGGGGTTAGGAAGAGCAGGATCTACAGCTCATAGTGGATTCCGAATCACTTCTAGGGCGCTGATTTGTTATCAAGAATCACACATCTTTATGAAAAATGCTCAGCCACGCCGGATTCGAACCGACAGCAGTTTGCAACGGATAAAAATATACTTGTGATATTTTTCAGTAAAGTTTGTATATCGCTACTTCAACCAACTCCCCAGAAGTCGAAACTTCTGCAGGGTTAGCAAGAGCGGGACCTACAGCTTATAGTGGAATCCGAACCACTTCTAGGGCATCGAGGTGCTGCCAGGATCACAACCATGAATCACACATTTTTTAAAGGAAAATGCTCAGCCGATAGCCGGATTTGAACCTACAGTACCTTCGCATCGTGAACGGCTATCTAGCGAAAATCAGCGCATAGACTGAATGAGATCTCTCGTTTGAAATATATTGAAATATTCTTACTCTGAGAGATATTCGTTTAGAAATTTTTCGAATAAAAACCCTGTATATGTACATAAATATTCATTTGTAACATATTAGTAATGACTGATTTTACTGAGCAGCAACAATTTTTGTTCACGGTATCAATGAAACGGTAGATGCTTTCATAATTTGATTACATAATAATGAAAACCTTCAATTCCTTCTTTATTTTTCAATTTTTTCGAATTCATGTAATTTTTTTCCATATTTTCACGTAAAAATGATTTGATAATTGATATTTACCGTATACTCTCTATTGTAAAAAACTTCACTAAGGATAAGATTTGTACATTCTTCCTAATTTAATAGAAGTTCAACAAAGGGTTCCAATAAAATCAAATTCGGGCATCATTAGTGACTACCCATTATTTTCGATATCAATTGATGAAAGAGAATCAAGATTGGGAAATCAGGTGTACACCCAATAATTTTTCTGAGAGGGCCATTGATACATATGAAAGTTAGTACTTCGGAATTTCTACTTTATCAGTCATAAGGAGATCGAAATAATATCTGATCGATATTATCGATAAATTTGCCCACACCTACTTGTTGCCAACCCCTAGTACCAACGCCAGCGGTCACACTGAACGTGCCGCTGGAGAGGGCCGCGCCCAAGATGATGGCGCCCTGCTATCCCCTTATCTGCCCCGTGAGCGACAGGACGCGCTGCAGCAGGCTCTCGCGTGCATTCATTGCTCACAGGTCAGTGTACTCACTCATAAGAATGAACTCGAGAATATACCTCCTGGGCCCTTGCCTGTCCCGTCAGCGACTGAACGCGCTGCAGCAGGTATTCGCGTGCATTCGTTGCTTATAGGTTAGTGTACTCACCCCGCTGGTTACACTGGGTGTGGAGCTGGAGACTTCTGCGCCCAAGATGGAGGTGCCCTGATCCCTCATCGGCTCCGTGAGCGACTGGAGGCACTGCAGCAGGCTCTTGCATGCATTCGTTGGTTATAGGTCATTGTACTCACCCTGGTGGACACCCTGGACGCATCGTTGGAGACAGCTGCGCCCAAGATGGAGGTGCCCTGCTATTCCCTCGCCTGCCCCGTGAGCGAATGGACGCGCTGCAGCAGGCTCTCGCGCGCATTCGTTGCTTTTAAGTCAGTGTTCTCACTCTAGTGGAGACTCAGGACGGAGCACTACAGCAAGCTCTCGCCTGCATTTGTTGTTCACAGGTCAGTGTACTCACTCCAGTGGAGTCTATGGACCATGCGGTCAAGATGAAGTCACTCTGTTTCGTATATAGGAATGAACTCGAGACCCCCTGGTTCCTTGCCTGTACCGTCAGCGACTGAACGCGCTGCAAGTCAGTGTACACACTCCGCTGGATGCTTATAGGTCAGTGTACTCATTATGATAGAGACTCAGGATACGGCGCTGCAATCAACACTACATGGCGATCCTGCCAATTTGAGAATTCTGTTGATTTTAATGGTGGTGAGTTTTGATGTTGACTCAAAGACGGTTGACGATAGAATCTGGTTTATATCCCAATTGATTATAATAACCTATTATGCTGAGGTGGAAGTGCATTGCACTTAAGTTGTACTTTGTTCGCTTATTTCAAATATTGACCTAGTTATTGTGCAACTTTGGAGTTTTGCTGAATAGCACTACAAAGCTCTCACGTGCATTCGTGATTAATAGTTCATTGTACTCCCCCCGGTGGAAACCCTGGACGCTGGCGCTGCAGCGGGCTCTCTCTTGCATCCGTTGCTCACAGGCCTGTGTACTCACTCCAGTGGAGACTCAGGACGCGGCGCTATAGCATTTCTTGCCTGTATCCATTGCTCACAGGTCAGTGTACTCACCCAAGTGGAGTCCCTGGACGCGGCGTTGAATACGGCTGCGCCCAAGATGAAGTCGCCCTTGTTCATATATACAAATGAACTCGAGAATACCCCATTTGTCCCTCGCCTGCCCCGTGAGCGACTGGACGCGCTGCAGCAGGCTCTCACATGCATTCGTTGCTTATAGGTCATTGTAGTTTGTACTCACCCCGGTGGTCACCCTGGAAGCGGCGCTGGAGACGGCGGCGCCCAATATGGAGGCGCCCTGGTCTCTTGCCTGCCCCGTGAGCGACTGGACGCGCTGCAGCAGGCTCTCGCGCGACTTGGCCGGCGAGCTGGGCGCCGACGTCGTCTTGGAGCCGGAGCGCAGGTTGAGCGACAGGTCGCTGCCGGTGCTTGACTGGGAGGGAGGAGGGGGAGGCGGAGCCTGAAACAACAGTGAATTCGAATATTACCTGGAGAAAATAGGTGTACAGTGATGTATGGATAGGCCGAACAGAAAGTTGTGAGAATCCGTTCGGTTCAACAGAACTTCTGGATTGAAAAATCCATTCTGCATGATATCTGTAATCCGAACACGTTTGTTCAAACATCTCTTAGCTGTACAAATATTGTCAGAGAATAGAATATGAAATACAATTGACGCCTTCTGAAATTCAAATGACTATTCTGAAATACAATTGACGTTTTCTGAAATTGTTTTTACTATTCCGAAATACAATTGACGCTTTCTGAAATTCAATTGACTATTTTGAAATACAATTGATACTTCCTGAAATAAAGGTGATGCTTTCTGCTTCTAAATACAACTGGAAATTATGTAGTTATTCATCGATATACCACCAATTACCAGATATCTTTCATAACCTTCCTTGAAATTTCCTAGTGAGTTCAGAGTGGAAGTGGAAGTGGTACAACCGACTCTAACTCAAAGTTCATATTTCGATCAATGTTCATCACAGTTAATATTGGTCTTACGGAAACGTTCAAATGAAGAAATATGAAGTAAGTTTCATGGACATTGAAAATTCAATACTAGAAAATGTGAGAAAGCATCGTAAACCTAAAAATTTTACATAAACTGGTACTTTTCAAGTGGAACACTCTATACTTCATTTTCCTAATCGGTAAAGCTCATTCATCTGATTGAAAATATATATACTTTATGGGTTATCTTTGTCAGTTTTTGGTGAATGTGGATTCTAAGGCAGCTGTAGAACTCCAGAAATCGCAGTACTGTCGTCTGGCCATTGTCGATCAAAATGAAAACCTAGTAGGCGACCTAGTGCGAGGAGGTATAATAGCTCCTGCCTACTATCTACCTAACTAGGTTGTCATCTAGAACGACAATGGTCTGGCGTTCTACAATTGCCAATTTTTTTTTTTTTTTTAAATGCCTTACCTCGTTGGACCCAGCACTGGGACCAAACGCCCCATAAGTCGAAACTTGTGAGGGGTTAGGTGAGCATACAAACACGAACATCCATGGCCTAACTAGGATTCGAACCTATGTCTCGGTGGAAGTCACCATACGAACTCAGCGCCTTCACGCCCTCGACACCGAGCCGCCTTAGATTTATATACTTACAAATAAATATATGTTTTTCGAAAACTGACAGACGATAACCTCGATAGAGTATATATATTTGAAATCAGAAGAAACAGCTCTACCGTTTAGGAAAATAAAATACAGAATATACCATTTGAAAAATATACCAGTTTATGTAGTTTTTTAAGTTGATTTCCTGAATTTCCTATAACTGAATTCTGAAAGCTCATGTAAAATACTTCATATTTGCCGATTCGAATGTTTTTGTGAAACCTACATCTAACTGAGATAGCATTTGAGTGATAAATAAGCAATCACCCTGTACATTTGGATTCCTTTGTCATTATCTCAAATTGGTTGAAATCCATTGCAATTTCTAGCAATTATTTGACTTTTCTCGCTGAAAATTATCTGAATATTTTTGGAACTCCTCAAAATTCTTTAGTAAGTTGAAACTTGAAATGTAGAAACGAAACCTGAATAATTCATTCGATCATATAAATATTCAAAATCCCTTTGAATTCCTGGATATTTCTCTCGAATTTCCTTAGTGACTTCAATCCCACCATGAAAAAATTGAATCTAGCTCATCATGTATTCCATTTAAACGACTTTCTTAGAATTCTTTGTAATTTCTTGGAATTCTTTGAAATTATTCGGATCTTTCAAAGTTTCTTGGAATTAGTGTGATTTTTTCAAACCCCAGAAATTCCTCAGAATACTTCAAAAGTTTCACGAGAATGAACTGAACCCTGTTCATAGATTTCATCATGAGATTACAAAGCTCAGGAGTTGACGATTTTGCCTGATCCACAGCGACCGTCGCAGATCACTTGTATTAAAGAGCATACTATCTAGCTTGGTCTCTTAATGAAACCTGATAGATCTGATACCAAGAGAATATTTCATATAGCTACTTCCAGGTTTCCCTGCCGAACTGCATGTGTACCTCAACCTTCTTGCCAGTCAGCATCAGAAGTCTTTCAGACGTACATTTCTGGTTTGGATCATTTCTGTTCACGTCTTACGACGTGTCAGATCATAGAAATTAGCTTTTTCCAAGAAGGAGCAGATAGCCAGGATCGCAGGTCGGGAAGGGCTCAAAAGTGAAGATATATTGTAAATAGTAAACACATAAGACACATTAGTATTTATCATTGGTTAACAATTATTTCTCAAATTTTCACCATATATAGTTAATTTGCCAATATTTCCTGGGGAGCCCGTGATCTTGGGCATTTGGGTCTCCAGGAGTTCCCTTTCTGATTACCCCACTGGAGTGAAGTAATTCGCTAGTCGTTATACCTGGTAACATAGGGTGTCTGGTCACCCCTGTAACTTCTGCATTTGTAAACGGATTTTTCTATACATTTTGTACAGTTATGTAAGCAACCATCTAGGATTTGATGACATTACAATCCAATATGGCGGACTTCCGGTTAATCTGGAAATACCAGCAACTTCGATTTTTCAAAAGGAACATTCTGAATATTTCTTTATATTCAAGTTCGACAGGTCAAAACGAATGCAATCTTCATGACAAGATTCAAAATTGTTGTTTTCCACAGCTTACTTGGATAATTATTCTAAATGCAAGATAATTCATGAAACTAGTAGTTGATTTTTTAATGTATACAATTCGTAACTGATGATGCACCGAAATACAAAAATGATGTCATTTTTCTGTAGATGTAAGTTCTAGGAAGACATTTAGGTGGCCTAAACAGTTTCCATTTGAAAAAGATGAACTTTTGATAAACATTTTATGTGACTTTTTTTATCTCTTGGAGCGCACGAAAGGAAATTCCGATAATGTTCGTGGAACATCGTGCATACATACCCAGGGTGGTAGGTAGGTTTCGGAATTTATTTCTAACTTTTGGTGATTGTAAGTTCTTCAGACTGAATTGTTCATCGATACGTGACACAAAAAATAATTTGAGAGTTGAGATGGTTTCTGCGGAAACCTGAACTGATGTGGAAGTGAACGATTATGATAATTTTGAAATTTTCGACGTATAATCTCCATGATAAGTTTCAATTTCATCTCAGTGGAACTCTGGAAACTATACCTAGATCACATAATAGACGATAATATAGGATTAGGTACACAGAAGTACATGAACTCAGAAAACACGTGGGTTCATTTTGAAAATTTTCTATCTTGGAGTATCCACATTAATTCAGCATTTGCTTCAACCCCTGGGTCTCAAACCTACCCATTCTTTTTCAAAATAAAAACAATAATATTATATCGTGCATGTGAGCCTGCCAGAAAGCTTTAATATTTTAAATGTGTTCGATCCTATGAAAAATCGAGAACATAATTTATATTCATGTCTTGGGGAACACGTATAGTCGTACACACACTTTCAGGTCAAGCGTTGTTTATCTTGGATCAATAGTCTTTTCGGCTAATGATAAATCGATATAGTTTCCTCATGTTTCCTCATGCATATATGTATATAACATGATCAAGATCTCAAAGTTCTTGAAGTTACGAAACAGGACAACTAGTTCAAGTTCTCACTAAGTTTTATATACTTGTATAAAAGGTGACACTTTGAAGGAGCAATATAGCCGATATATAATATATAGAATATATAAACGGATGAACGTATTTGAGAATGCAAAAACACTTTTCAACAATTACGAGAGGGACATAATCTGAGGAATCAAGTGGAAAAGTTGGTCGACTGAAATGAACATTCGATATACAGTGTATCTAAGATAAGGATGTATTATATTATGGGGGTCTTGAAAAAAATGGGAGAAAAGTTGCGCATTTCCATACCTAACAATATGCCGTTCAGAAAGTTCCAAAATTCAGGGTGGTTCAGGAGATATGCGCTTGAAAACCGAAATTTGCCGATTTCATTTTAATTTTTTCATGGCGTCGTTCAAAGAGAAAAACAAAATACACTTCCTCATTGCCACTAACCAAGCTCTACAAGACAGCGTTGTGAGATTTTCTATGCGACGTTTGGTTTCGGAGAAACCATCATCAACATAATTTTTTATACGGCCTGTAGCAGGGCCTACTCTAGATAGGGTAGGCCCTGCCTGTAGCCTAGCAATGGGAGCCTAGGCGATGATGAAAAGTGATAGGCAAGTTTCTCTTTGAAAATTGACACCCTGTATATATATATAGAATTGAATAAAAAATGTATAGAAATATTTCTTGATCTAGCAAAAGCATTCGACACGGTGCCCCATGGAAAACTTCTTGATGTGCTCGAACACTATGGAGTACGGGGTACCGTGTTGAATGTTTTCAAAAGCTACTTAATGAACAGATCTCAACATGTAAGAATCAGGGATCAAATCAGTGATCGAGAAACCGTTCTTATGGGTGTCCCACAAGGCACAGTTCTTGGTCCCTTATTATTCATCACTTACATTAATTCCTTATTATGACCGGCTATACCCGACAGCTCTACTCTATGACAGCAATGTACTCAATATCAGAATGCTATATTTCCTCAGTAACTGTCAATTCATGTTCAAAAACAAATGTTCGCAAAATTTTTTATCTCACTCATATAAGACACGTCAAGTTACAAAGAAATATTTATCCGTACCTTTCTGTCAAAAAGGCTCTACTCAGAGGTTTGCAAAAAATATAGCCCCCCGTATTTATAATATGCTGCCAACTGAGATCAGAAATGTTGATAAATATAAAATGTTCTCTAAGATGTGTAGAGTTTACATAAACAATAATTATAATTTATTCAGAACTTGTCTAGATATCAAATAGGTAGGTAGTTGTAGTAATTAGAAAAAAAAAAACTGTCCTTGTGTTTTTTTTGTTGAGATTAGTTAATATATTAGTTCTTGACTTGAAAATAACAGTTTTTCAGAAAAAGAAATAAATCTTT